AAAATCTTTACATATTTAGAAATAAATGAAGAAAAAAATGTTATTATATGGAATTACTAATAATTCTATTCGCAACAATAATGAAGCGATGCATTTAATTTTACACTATTTACAAATTTCCAAGTGTCCAAATCAAATTTATAAGCATGTATTTCTTGTTGATCACTTACTTCCCACTTCACTAATGATCCTTCATATGGCTGTGTTCCCTTTATCTTAGTCCAACGATCATGTTCATTTATAAATTTTTGCAATATCTCTTCTAATTGAGATTTGCTAGGCAGAACTCTTATTTCATTATAAAATTTTGAAAAACATTTGGTCCACTGTTCTTTAGAAATCCTTTGAGCCCATAAACATTTATCTAATATGCAATATATTTTTGCATCCCTTAATGTTTGAAATTCTGCTTTAGAGTTATTTAATTTTTTTAAGTTTTTTCATTTAAAAGTTCCTCACACAGGTTTGAAATGGGTTTATTATCAATGACGTATTGAAGATTATAAGGATCTCTTATTTCAATTTTATCATAAAAACATAAAAGTAATGCTTCTCTTTCAACAGATGAAATAAATTCAAAATAATTTAAATCTGCTTTAAATTGATCTATTAATTAATTGTAATAATACAGTAAGTTAGTAAATCACACCGGTGTTTAATGTTTCGTATATTTTTATAATCATTATTAATTTAGAAATAGGATTAGATTAAGGATTTGAATTTTTAAAGTTCTAAATATTATTACTTAATACATCAATGCAAATTTAAAGAACTTACATTGTGATAAAAGCAGAGAATTTTCGGTCAAATAGACGTAAACGTAAGTAATTTCTTTTCGCCAAAATGCAAAGGCCTTTAGGAAGCTTAAAGCGAGTTATCCATCCTAATTGATACTGTTTTTCGAATGCTAATGTATTTAAATCCCATTGTGTTAATGACCAACATTTATCAATAAGCATTATCTTTTCTCTGTCAGTTACATGACATTTTTTAATATATTTCAATTCACCACAAGAAATTGAATTATTAATCTTCCATCTCTTTGAGTTTTTAAATGAAAATTTAAAAATATAATGACACTCATAATCGTGCACAACCATTAAAATGTCTCCATTATCATAAA